CCTGAAGTTCTTGACATGAACCACATAAAAGGAGAGGGAAAACTTAAACAAACGTCAGCCATATATCATCTCGCCGAAGGTACCCAGGACAGAAGCCAAATGGGTCAATTTCCTAAGACTGGTACAGATGACACTTCTCTCTACAAGTCCGTATTGTAGCCACAGTACTGCAGCATTACTTGCTCAGATCACATATGATCATCATGCAGCCTTTGCTACTCTCTATCCTAAGGGGAAAATTACCCCCAAGATGCACTACTGTGTGCACCTTCCAAGACAGATGCTTCAGTATGGACCTTTGAGACATCAATGGTGTATGCGTTTTGAAGCAAAACACGGCTTCTTCAAAACCAAGAAATGGAGGTGCTACAAAAACCTCCCACTGAGCATCAGTCTGAAACATCAGAAGTACATGTGTTTCAAGCAACTTGATTCCATGGGCCAAGGAAATGGCAGTTTTCTGTACAGAGGTGACATTGTCAATGAAGGAGAGTCCATCACTTTGAGAAATGAATATACTCTACAACTTGTCGATGGAATAGCTGCCACTCTTGGTATTGAGCTGCATGAAGGCCTTCAGGTTAACAGGACTACAGGTGTTGCCATCCTAGGACATGAATAACGACAAGGCTGTTGTCTAGTCCTTTCCTATGAAGATGACTTGCCAAAATTTGCAGTGTTGGAAAGTGTCTTAGTCATCAATGATGAAAAGATCTTCATAGTTGAGTCCATGGAAATTGAGACTTTTGATGCTCACATCATGGCATATGTGTTGAGGTCTACTGGTGAACAAGTTGGGGTCACATACTCACAGTTATTTTCTAAGTGGCCACTGAGTGTACATGCTTATGATGGGGAAAAGTGTGTAATTAATAAGTATTCACACATGTGTGAACTGCTTTAAGATGCATGCATAATTGTCATGGCCAGTAATTATAGGGGCAATTCCACCATCACTCACGATATGCCCTGAGTCTAGTCGCTGCCTTAAAAGTGTTTGATCAAGCTGAATAGACCAGGTCACTTAAATCATATCAAATTCATGCATGTACATGTACCGTACTCAAAAATTTGAAAGAAAAATTCAACTCAGTACGTCATTCACTTTTGAAAAGATGTGTTTCGGTTGGTTGTCACTCACGTGACAAAAAAACCCAACATTTTCTTGCATTTTTTTTCTTCAATTCTCCTCAAACCGCAACACCTGTAGAAGTATTTTTGTTTACCTTTCATTCAACCCACACATTGAAGCTAGATATAAAAACACATTTTGAATCAAATCAGTGTGTATTTTAGATGCCATTGACATTTAGTGACAAGGAGGAACCGTCGCTTACATTACATCATTCACATTACTTCCTCTTCATGATGTTTCTAGCACAGCATAAAATCTTTATTTCCTGAACTGCAACATAATGAAACATCTATTGTACCTTTCTCTCTATCTGCCTTAAAAGCTTTAAACTCACATGACAAAACACTCACATTTTTCATGCAAAACAATGTGCCAAAATGTATACCGACATTCCATGATTTTGGCCACAGAAACACAAGTTTTTGAACTTAAGTTGCACACAAGTAAAAATAGCATATAGTGCAGTAATTGTAAGTTATATGTGTAGTACTGTAGGCATGCAGTCATGGTGACATTTGAAACACTTTATTCCAAGCAAAAGTGGACAAGGCTGACAAACTGTATACAATCAATTTCAAACCAAGTATCGTGTGTTGTGAAAGTCAGATATTTTATTTGAGTGGCACCACTCAAATAAAATATCTGACTTTCACAACACAAGATACTTGGTTTGAAATTGATTGAACAGTCGAGTCTCGTTAATACAAACTCGTTCGGACCTAGCCAAATTGTTTCTTATATATCAGAATTTTGTATTAAGAGGAACATCAGTCCCATTCATTGTACACATACATGCACAGTCGGGACCAAGGCTTTGTGTTTGTTATAACCAGAATTTTGTATTAACAGAGTTTGTATTAATGAGACTCGACTGTATACAGTTTGTCAGCCTTGTCCACTTTTGCTTGGAATAAAGTGCTTCAAATGTCACCATGACTGCGAAGATACGGTACTTAATACTTACAATTACTGTACTATGCTATTGTGATTACAGTGGTAGTAAGTGCTGTTTCTTCTGTGACAGTGGCTTTCTGAACTGGAATTTTCCTTATAAAATTGGGTTGTGGCAGCTAGGGATGCGGTAAATTTACCTCAGTATTCAGGGTCAAATCAGAGATGATCAAAAATCTGTAGTGTTTGTTTTATAACACTATCAAAATAATAATGAGTGATACATGTATTTTGGCACGTGTCCCTTCAGCATACTTACCATTTTGCACAGCTGTCAAATGCATACAAGTCGACATCTTGATCTAGCCTAGTGTGTTGAGTATCAATTACAAAAAATATGGGGATAATTTCAATCAAATGAGTTTATGTTTGGGGTAAGGGGCACTAAAACATGGAAAGAAACATTCAGCCCATTCAGCCCTTTTGAAAACATGTGTTTTGTTGGTAGTCACTCACGTTACAAAAAGTAATTTGTGCACAATTTGCCTCAAACTGTAGTCTCCTCAACCAGTAGTCTGCAAAACACAAGTTACATATGTTTAACCTTTCATTCAACCCAGATAGCTAGATATATATAAAAAAAAAAACTCAGTAGTTGGGGTCAAATCAGAGAGGGAGGTACATGTACATGTACTGTTACTCACACTATGCACTCTCGTTACTTCCTCTTCATACATTTTTTAACATGTCATAAAGTCTGAGTTTGTTAAATTGCAGCGTATAATGAAACTCTTTTCTTATAATAGTGATTTTAGCCCCCCGAAAAACAAATCTTTGACCACAGTTTCACACTTACTTATATTTCATCTCATAGCACACAACTCAAATGAAAGATTTTCATTTGACATGTGATGCTTGTACTTCTAGTTTGGAAGATGTCATACAGTTTCCACTTTTCAGCCTTGTCCACGTTTGTGTGGAATAGCTTCATGTATTTGGAATAATATTTTAAAAAGTAAAAAGAAAATATCTGAGAGCGAATTAATTCTTTGAGTCATATGTCCACGTCGGGGTGGAATCACCCATGTGTTTCCTTATGACTTTTGTCAAAAGATAGTGTTTCTGTATCTTTGCTTAGTCAGGTTAGTACCGCTACATGTACCTCAAATAATTACAAAGTCTTTCATAACAGATGTTTGCCATGATATTTCATTATCTCTGTAGAAATCAGTCACTTTTCTATGACCTCTTTGTCAAGTCCTTTTCTTTCTTAATTGTGTTGTTGTTTAATTGTGTTGTTGAAAAAACCAACATCTATTGCAACTTTTGCAATTAGATTACATGGAGCTTTGGCAATGCTTGTAATTTTTGCTTTCCTGGTTGTTCTGAGAGTGATGACGCCTGTTGCTGATTTGCAGTGATTAAAGTGCCCGTAAAATTCACCTTTAATTGTTTCTTCCTGTTGGTATTTTTTTTTTTTTTAGATCTTTTGTTCTGCCTGTAAATCCTATTTTTCCTCGCAGTTGAATGCATTGATATTTTATCAAATTAGATTGCAGTACCTGCTTTTGCTTTCGTTCAGCTTCTTTCTGTATGTGATAATGTCCAGTTTACCTTTTTCTGCTTAAACCATGATAAGGCCCCCCCAAAACGTCTCCCGTTTCTGGTATGGAGCTTGCCCCAAAAGTGGTGCGGCGACACAGCTTTTTTTTTTTACTTTTTTTTTCTTCAAATGTCGGCTGCCTGCAAATGGTTCCAGACTAAATTTAGTGCAAAATATATGGGAGTCCAGAGAGGCCGCATAAAGCTTGAACTCGATCGTAACCCCATCTTAAAACACGTTTAAATTGTGCAGCAGCAGGATTCCAGTCAAACCAGTGAGTTTGGCGGTTTTGAGACATCATCAAACAAAGCCGACGTGCAAACCGGAGACTTTTTTATTTGGCCTAAACATGTGTTCTAAAATATCCAAATGAAAATTTGTTTTTAAAGCAAAAATGTAATGTGATCAAGCTGAAGGAGTTGTTTGTTGGCCCTTATCAAATTGTTGAGGTTTTTTCCCTTCATTTTTGAAGAGAGCTATTTTTCAGATTGTATTTGATGAAAACCCCACATGAACACAACCTTCATTTCAGAAGTTCTGGGACTTAGAACACAGGCAGATCAGAAACTGAGAAGAAAACAGAGAAATCTAACAGAGAAATCAACGATTCAAAATTGAAGTGTTTATTAAGCAACAAAAAAACATGCTTTATTTCAGGTTATTGGATATTAACTCTTTGGCAAAAATGTCACATTTTAACTACCTATCCTGAGTTTTTCTCGGAAACAAAATAGTTGACATGAAAGAGGACATATCGTCGCAGAGCTGACATAGCGACGAATAAGCGAAAACCTTGTATCAAGTAATTCACGTTTGAAGTTGGACTGTATACAGCGCACGCGCGATCCAACAAACTGACGAATAACTTTCGTTGGTACTTTGAAAGCACACCTTACATTAGCAGGTTAACCAGCGAAATTCTGTATTTGTCACTCAAATTATGGATTTGTTATTTTGACTGATTCGCCACAGGCAGGGCTCCGAATCTCAAAATCCAGACAAGAATTACGAATTTGGGCATAAATACTTGAAAGAGCAACCTTTAAAAACTACAAAATCTCAAATCGGCAAAATGTTCGATACGCCGGTTTGGCAGCTCTGCGACGACATAGCCTTCCAACTTTACCAAAATGTCAATTTTGAAATTTCCACCCCTACTGACCTATTTGGGCTGTATTTTAAAATCACAATTACCAACAAACGACTCATTTAGCTTGATCGCATCACATAATATGGTCTTGAATTGAAATGTCACGTTTTGACAAATTTCATTGGTACTATGATATTTCACGGCCTAACTTTAAAAGAAAAGTGTTTGCTATTATAATTAGGCTTGGTAGGAGGGTACGTGGTTTGCTCATCTCTTAAAAGAAAAAAAAATAGGAAACAAATGCACTGAGGATGGGTGGTGCAGATCCTCAAGCTCTTTCAGGGTTAACAAGTGTTTTAAAAAAAGGTGTAGCACCCCGATAATTATGGTGTCTTATGCTACCCCTATCATTAGATGCCCCCTCTGGAAGTTTCCCCCCCCCCCCCCAATTTTTCAACAGCCTGTTCAAGGAACAGCCCTGACACAGAGCCCCAGTGAGTTGGTCAGTGGTTATTCTTAGCCATTCTCATACTTGATGACTGTGAGTGAGCACTGCATTAAAGTTTTGTTAGCCAACCGTATACTCACTGGACGTTCTGTGTCATCTATTTGCAGGTATGTGGAGTATCATTTTATTTGAGTTGTCAGCAACTTTTTATGTATAAATCCTCTTGATGTCATTTTAGTTTATTTAATCCCTTTTGAGATGAGGATTTTGATTGTGTATTTCTTAGCATCGAGCACACTTATTTTACTGACGGTGGATCCCGGTTCAGAGTTTTATTCAAGGATGTTTTCCTTTTTCCTGATGATATTGTGATTTATTGTTTGGGTCTCTGATTGTTCAGACTTTATAGATGTGATTTAGGCAGAGATTTAAGTTTTGATTACTTTTCCATCTTTATGTTTTCTCTGTGGGAAAAGTCATTATAGGTTTTCATTCTTGTAATTTTGTAGCATTTGCAATGTACGTGTATTTGGATGTACTGTATAGCTATGCACTGTAGGTATAGCACTTCAGACCATGTGGTCTCACTCAGAACAAAGGAGCCTGTGTGACCGTCTTAGAAGCATAATTGGCACTAGGCCCTGGGGCTTGTCTGTTATCAGGCTAGCCTGGAATAATGTCTCTGGTTTATCTAGAAGGTGTAGGATGCTCCCTTGGTTTAAAATCTGAGAGGCAAGTGCCAGGCTAGGCAGGATTAGTGAATGGCTGACTGAGCTCACTTTGTTTATTGGGTCCAGAGCCTTGCTAATATTCGGGCCAGGAAGTTAATGTTTTTCTTTATTCTAGTAGGTTAATGTTTTTCTTTATCTTGTTTCCTGCGAGAAAGTGGACAGGGAGAACACTGTTATTTTCCAAGTTTTCAGTTTCATTTTTATTAGGGACTTAAGCAGTAGAGACTTAATTCCTAGACTAGCCAAGTCTGTGAGTCTAAATATTTCTTAGTTATTGATTGCAAGTTTAGAATTGTTTCAATACCATGCTTAGATTTATTTCAGTTTTATAAATCATATAGCCATTCTCATACTTGATGACTGTGAGTGAGCACTGCATTAAAGTTTTGTTAGCCAACCGTATACTCACTGGACGTTCTGTGTCATCTATTTGCAGAAACATTTAATGAACACTCCGTGGTAACTCTTCCGAGCCAACCGGGGGTGCAACATTTGGCGACCACGAAGGGACAGGTGTTTTTGTGTCCACTTCAATGTGGAGATGAATGACAGCGCCTGTCCAGTGACCATGAACCAGAGCCGTACCATGCAGCTGTAGTCAGTAGTTGAGACGGGTACAACCCAGTACTAAACGAGGTTAGCTGGAGCACGGGTGCAGACAAACACCATTAGCAGAGGGACAAGAGGAGCGTCGTAGCGTCCATATTCGCCCTACAAGATGGCAGAGTCAGCTCAGGATGTGTGCCAGCGCCTAATAGAGCAGGTCAGTCAACTCTCACTACTACAGTTACAGGAGGTATGCAAACACCTCGACCTACCAGGATACCAGGAGGTGGAATGCCCCAAAGCACTTAGAAGGAAGGTGAGCCGCAACCTACTGCGTGAAGAGCTTGAAGAGAGAGAAGATGAGGGGCTCTCCCTCTACACAGACCTGCGAGAGTTCCTCAAACAAATCGTAGTTGCAGAGAATCTACCAGCTGCGGACCCGAAACCTGAGCAGAAGCCATCGACAACCCCAAAGCTGGATACCACTCCAGCCAGCTTGATGACCTTGACCCGCAGGGAATTCAAAATATCGGGACAGATTGGCGAGCCGGGACAGCGAGACCGCCTGTCCTTCTCCAGCCTCGCCCATCAAATTGAGAGTGGCCGTGCCAAAGGTCACAAGGAACGGGAGATCGTGGAAGCCGTGATCCGTGCAGTGGTCCCAGGTTCAGCACTACGCAGCTATCTAGAGGGCAGAGCGGGACTGACGTTGCCCGTACTTCGTCACATCCTACGAGCACACTACCAAGAGAAAGACGCGACGGAGTTATACCATCGGCTGTCGAGATTGGCTCAAGACAACAAGGAGTCTGCCCAGAGTTTTCTGGTGAGAGCCCTGGATCTGAAGCAAAAGGTTATTTTTGCTTCTCAGGAGAGCGGCTCTGGCCTAAAGTACGACCCTACCCTAGTCCAGAACATGTTTCTGCACGCACTCCTCACTGGTTTTAGAAGTGAATCTGTGAAGAATGAGCTTCGCTCCCTCCTACAAGATCCCAGTACCACAGATGATCGAGCTACTTTTCGAGAAAGTTAACACGGCGGCAAGCCATGAGATGGAACGACAAGAGAAGTTGCACTCCAAGTCAGTTTCTGTCCATGAAGTGCAGCAGTATGAGTCAAGCCAGGAAGCAGTGAAAAGGAAACCGAAGGAGGGCACCCTCATGACCGACATTGCGGAGCTCAAAGCTGGAATCATGGAAATTGCGACCATGAGAAAGCAGCTGGACAGCCTTCAGGAGTCACTGACTACACCAGCCAACCAAAACCACCAGCTACGACGACCGTCATCCAGCCGCCCGCTGAAGAGGGGATGTCGACACTGCCAGCAGAATGGCAATGGCGATACTTGCGACCATTGTTTCAAATGTGGCTCAAGTGAACACTACGCCCGAGGTTGCCGCACTAGGAGTTCTCAGTCGGGAAACGAGCAAGGGTTGCTGCTACGGGACGGGCAGTAACCAGTGATGTCAAATTCCTTCAGTCCCAAATGTGTTGCGTTTCTCCTTCAAAGCAAACCGCAGTAACACGCCTTATCGGCAAGAGATGTCTGGTCAGCTGCATGATAGAAGGCGTGAAAACCCAGGCTTTGTGGGACACCGGAGCCCAAGTCTCCATCATACCATCACATTGGAAGGAAACCCATTTGCCAGGTCTGAAGTTACGCCCCCTATCAGAACTTCTTGGTGGAGACGATCTCAGTCTCACTGCAGCAAATGGCACAGGTATTCCTTTCGAGGGCTGGCTTGACCTGGCTTTCCAGTTGACCTTGGGACACAGTCGTGTCATCAGCGTTCCAGTTTTGGTTGCCAACGGGATCACTGGAGTACCTATAATAGGGTACAATGTCATAGAGGAAGTTGTCCAAGGCGGAGATGAGAGATCGCTTCCATCAGAAGCAGTTCGAGCAGCTTTTCCGTCGATGAGAAAGAGCGAGGTGATGGCTCTGACGAGCCTCATACAGCAGGAAACCTCAGGGGATATTGGCGATGTTGTTGTGGGGAGACAGAGCATCACGATTCCCAAGCAGGGTGCCGCCATAGTACCATGCCAGGTTAAAACAGAACAGTTGACTCAAGGTAATTTCGCCTTATTTGAACCTGCAGTTACCATGATACTCCCTGAGGACCTCCATGTTGACCCTGCCATCGTTCAGCTTAAGAAAGGAAGAGAAACATCCTGCAAGGTGTTTATCTTGGTCTCAAACTTGGCCAGCCGGGACTTGGTCCTCAGAAGAAGAACCCCCTTGGGTTCCCTGGAGCTGATTGACACTCTTCACACCCTACCCAGCCAGGCTCACGAGGCAAGGAACCCACATGTCAAGGGTGTCAACTCTATTTCAACAGCAAAGTGTGATGACGCTACGTGGGTCCCTCCCGTTGATGTCAGCCATTTGACCGAACCACAACGTCAAGCAGCCATACAGATGTTAAAAGAGGAAGCTGCAGCTTTTGCTAAGGACGACAATGATCTCGGCTGCATCGAAGATCTTCAAATGCATATTCGGTTGAAGGACGATGAGCCGGTGCAGAAAACATACATGTCCGTGCCCCCGCCACTTTACAGAGAAGTGAAGTCTTACCTGAAAGATTTGCTTGACCGGGGTTGGATAGAGAAGTCCGAATCATCCTTCTCCTCCCCCGTCGTATGTGTGAGAAAGAAGGACGGATCCCTCCGTCTCTGCATCGATTACAGGCAGCTAAATCAGAAGACAATCCCCGACAGGCAACCCATCCCCCGCATTCAGGATGTACTTGACAGTCTTGGTGGTAACTGCTGGTTTTCAACTCTAGACCAAGGCAAGGCCTACCACCAGGGCTTCATGGCAGAGAAAAGCCGACAAGCTATCACCCCATGGGGCTTATACCAGTGGAACCGCATTCCCTTCGGATTGATGAATGCCCCTGCAGTGTTCCAGCGGGCAATGGAAACGTGCCTTGACGGGCTGGTCGGTGAGGTGGCCGTAGTATACCTTGATGATGTTCTGGTCTACAGCAATACATTCGAGGGTCATCTTGAAAATCTGCGCCAGGTACTTAGACGGTTCCAAGATCGGGGTGTGAAGTTAAAACCCAGCAAGTGCAGTCTGATGAAAAACAAGGTTCGATACCTGGGACGAATTATTTCAAGCGAGGGACATAAGATGGACCCAGCGGACATTGCGGCGGTTGAAACACTGCGAGACAAGAAGCCCAGCACTGTTGGCGAGCTCAGAAAACTTCTTGGTCTACTGGGTTACTACCGCCAATATATTCAGAACTTTTCAAAGAGAGCCAAAGGTTTATATGAACTCCTTCGAAGTCCCAGTGCCGGTAACACAACATCAAACAGCAACCGTGCTCCTCCTAAGAAGCCCCCACCCAACTCCAAGTCAAGCAAGTGCAAGAACCAGGTGCCATCTAAGCAACCAATATCATGGGAGAGTGAGCATCAGCACGTGCTGGAAGAATTGTTAGACTGTCTTACTAATCCCCCTGTGATGGGCTTTCCAGACCACGAGAAACCTTTCATCCTGCACACTGATGCCTCCAACAATGGTCTGGGAGCGGTGCTGTACCAGGAGCAAGAGGGCAAAATGAGGGTGATAGGTTATGGATCTCGTACACTGAGCCCAGCTGAAAAGAACTATAATCTGCACTCGGGAAAACTTGAATTCCTTGCTTTGAAATGGGCCATCACGGAGAAGTTCAGGGATTATTTGTATTATGCTCCATCCTTCACCGTGTACACCGACAATAACCCCCTGACTTACATCTTGTCTTCAGCCAAACTCAATGCGACTGGTCATCACGGCTGTTCCAGCGCAAAATAATGGCGCCCTCTGTCGTTCTAATCGCGCCAATCGAAAATCTCCGTAAAATGACGTCACCGACACTCTTCGTGGGTCGGGCCAAGCGAGTTTCATATCATGAATATTTATATCTGGGAATATTTGGAATGTCATTGGTAGATTAATCGGTCAAAGTTCAAAATGTTTCTTTTTCAAAAGTTTGTTTTTTTCCCCTTATTTCCATATATGAATATTAGCTCATGAATATTAAATTACTGAAAACGGCGTCCGTCAAAACTGGTGTTCGACCGAGCTGATTATCGCGGTGTGCGGTCATGTGACAAATTTGTCACATTAAAAGGTGTTTTTCTCCAAACAAGAGGTTTTCCCCGATGTAAGGCCCACATCAACTTTGTTTTGGAGATACGTGCTGCATATGTGTCCGGTTTGAAGGTAAGGCCAGCGGTAGATTTGTTGATATTTAGGTGCAAAAAGTGACATATTTTCGTGTCTGCGCGGAATGCCAAACGGTCGAGTTGGTTGTAAAGCGTACATGGTACGCGCCTGTGTATCACGCATAGCCCAAGCGCATGATGGTTTAGAGACAACTCGACCGTTTGCGTGTTCATGTATTTGTACGGGCATGCGTGCGGATCTAACCCGTACCTAGGTTCGTGCATGTGTGGACGAAGATCCTCCATTGGCGTGATGCACATGTACATGACATGTCGTGTATTGTGCTACAACTTTGTTATACATGGGAAAGATTTCCATACATAAATTACATCAAAATGATCAACTAGGCCTTAATTGGAAGGTAAACAAAAATGCTATTTGCACGATTCAGTATAAAATTAATAAAAACAATACGAACAGGTCATGACAGCAGAGAGAGAAAAATGCCCCCCCCCCCCAAAAAATGAACATTTCATAACAATTTGATTCTGACATGAACAGGATGAAAGTAGTTAACATGTCGGACTAATCTTTTTTATTGTACATGCCACCTTTCGTGTTTGCAGAACTTATTCTGGCATGTCTGACGTTGAATTTATTTCAGGCTTTGCATATTTATTCAGTAATGCTTAGCCAAATGCCAAATCCATTTTCATGTAAACACATTAGTGCCTCAGCTTCATGGGGACATGAAAAAATTGGCAATTCTAAATTGAGGTGTTTTGTTTCTGTGTGATCCTGTACCATACAAAATTTTTCAGCCAATTTAGACTTGGCACAGGCCTTATTGTGCAGTGTGCAACCCCCCCCCCCCCCCACCCCCCGATAAAGTAATATAAATATTGTTAAATGGTGTCATGATACATCATGTACACGTGACATGCACCACTGCTTAGTGTTGGCGGTACATGTAGAGCTTTGAATGTATGGCTACATTTCTCCCATGCCCCACCCCCACCCCACCCCCTAATAAAAGCAATTGTACATGTGATCCTGTTTTCTGAAAAAAAGCATTTTGTTATGATTTTTCAGGAAGTTTGCAGTATCATTCTCCTGACAAGAGGATTTCTCGTATTTTCTGGAGCTCTGGTGAGATGGTGGTGTGGTGAGCCGTTGACTCGTTGTGATGAGCCGTACAGTGGAAGTGAATCTTTCCCATCCCACGTTTGTGCATGGAGGATCAGGATAACACAGACATGAGCATGTGTTGGGTGTATTTTTGGTAACTGAATGTGTGCCAAACTGTGTGATGCCATGTGCACTGCTAGATTTGAACAAACCCTGCACCGCCTTGATCCGACACATTAAGAACTTCTATTGTCTGCTTGCCAAGGAATCACTCTCGAATTTAAGCTCAGGATTCACACGTCACACATGATCACTCGCGATGGACTGGTTCTCGCTCCCATATCGGACATGTTTACATTTTAATGCCCATTTATGGCCATTGATTGGATGACCCCTGCATGTATGTGCAGTACAATTGTGTTTTTTGGAAAATGATATTTACATTCTGATTTCTCGTGCATGGCTATCGCAAAACTGACTCGTACATGAACCATAAACTGTAGGCAAAATGGTCATGTCTCTACTGAAACTGCATTAATGACAACATTGTTGCCACTTTGAAGGGGCTGGATCCATGCTTACATTATCATTGTGGTTTTGTACATAAGGGCAGAATTGTGACCTAGGCTTATTTGTATACACCGGTAGGAATTCCTCCAGGACTACTGCGAACGACACTCCTAAGTGCCAAAATTATGAATTGAAATACAACTGGATATTAACTTTCACTGAAAATCAACTAATTGTTGACACTACTAAAATGCTATTATTACATTAGATATTTTTATCGGCGTTTTTTTAAAAGTAAGTCAATAGGCTACTAATAACAAGTTTTAAGTTGGCATTCTTTTCCATACTTTAAAACAGATAAGACTTTTACGTGTATGTGGATTGCTTTTTTAGGTGTACTGCGACCAATGGGAGACCAATGGATTTCACTAAATTGGCCGCCAACTTAAATAATGAAATAAAGTAAAATATAAATATTACCCTGCCAGTTTTTAAATCTAATATTCAATTGGAGTCTGCCTTTGCTTGTGCCACATGCAATGATTGGCTGCAGCCTCTACTATCTCTGGGGGAATGCGGCAATCTCTATATATGCTGTGTGATGTCATGTGGCCATAGATTTCAGCAACCTTGCTGGTTACTTTTGCTTCTTGGAAGGGTTCTGGACAGAAGTGTTGTGCTGACCCGACTCGAAACTGTAATTGACTCAACCAAAAACCAACTTTGTGTTTGGTCGGGTCGGTTTGTCCGTCATTTCAGTTGGGTTGGTCAGTTTTGTGTTTGAAAATTTGCGGATCAGGTTGGATCGGGTCAATTCAAAACCCGAAATAAACGGGGAAAAAAGATGGAAACAGTTTGGAAATTAACACAGCGCAGGATTTGTATTATATCTATAATGTTTCGCACCAGTTTGGCCTATAGTGGACCCGACCCGAAGCAAAACTCTACTGGACAGGGGAGGTTTTCGAAGTTTTCGAGGTTTGGATGAAGTTAATCTGGGACACTTGTGGACATATGCAGGACTGCATTTGCTCGAGTTTTCCTATAGCCCGAACAGTCCTGAATCCTGGAATTATAATACGATTCCCCCCCCCCCACCCAGGGAGTTAGGGTTAATGAAAACTGTTTGAAGTGATAAGTGTTGCACCCGTAGTGGTTTAACTTTATGAATATTGCTGTGCAAATAAGGGCAGGATATTGTTTCTTTTATGAAATTTTTAAACAATTTTAAGCAAACTTGGAGCATTACATTTGTTCATACATGTATAATCATAAGGCCGTCTGACCTACAGGAGTCTGATGTAGAAAGCTCATCCTGCCTAATATTATTGGTGTTCGTACGAAATTATTTGTATTCTTAACATGCATGATCTGGCCGGAGTTCTGCTGAATATTTCCCCCACAAACCACCGGCCTGTGACTCTCAGCGCACGGTTTTGCTGCGCTGCAGTTCAGCGGGCAGGGCAGTGCGACAACGCCGTGTTAACGCCGCGCGTGCGCCGGTGGTGTGTGCATGAGTTCACGCCCTATAGCTATTGTGCCGTGTGATGTGCGTGTATACCGCGCGGTCTCGTGAAAAGTGGCTGTATTTTAACGGTTCTAAAAAACAATCTACCGCTGGCCTTCGAATGAAACTTCATGAGTCATTTAAGATGGTCCTTATTTACAAGAAGTGACCATGGAATATTTGGGGAAAACTTGGTATCAATAATAAAACGGGATTTTCTTCGGGGATTTTTAACAACTTCCAAAACAAACAGCGACAGAAAACCTTACGCACGAAGCGTAATCAAACCTGTTTTTTTACAGGTATTTTGAACTTTATGGGCCAGCTCAATCTTCCGATGTGTGGAAACTCACGTTATCTGTCAGAATTATAGTATGGCACCATAAGACATTGTGTGAGTCATGATTTAGGGGCAAGTTTGGGGCATGTTAATTCGTGTTTTGTTTTAGTGAAAAGTTAGGACGCCATCTTGGATTTCCAAAATTGCATGACGTCATCACTTTGATACACTGGAGTAAACAAACGCTGTGCGGACAAAATTGCTCAAGTTAATTACGTTATGTCTATGGGATTGAAACGGCCGTGTCATCGCTGGGTCGCTGAACTGGCCGACTTCAATTTCAAGATTAAATACCGCCCAGGGAAGTCCAACACAGACGCAGATGTACTCTCTCGTATGCCCCTTGACTTTGAGACCTACAGAGCCCAGTGCACAAGCGAGGTCAGCACCACTCATCTGGGTGCCACCATTGCTGCAGTCAGAGCCGATAGTTCCGGATGTTTCCCCTGGATTGATGCCCTGTCTGCCTCCACGTCAAACCCAGATGACAGTGTGATGAGCTCCCACCACATTTCAAAAAGAGAACTGAAGGCAGCGCAACGCGATGACAATACCATCGGGCGCGCCATCCAGTTTCTTGAAAGCGGTCATCGCCCAACTAGACAGGACCGGATGACAGAACCGCCCAATACTGTTGCTCTTCTTCGGGAGTGGGACAAGCTAGAGTTGGATGTTGAGGGAATACTCCATCGCAGATCGGGTGGCAAGAAACAATTAGTCCTCCCTCTGAAGTACCATCGCTCTGTCTACAAAGAGTTACATGAAGAGATGGGTCATCTCGGCGCAGAGCGTGTTATTCACCTTGCACGTGATAGATTCTTCTGGCCCCACATGCAACGAGACATCGAGCACTATGTGTCTAATGTTTGTAGATGTTTGCAACAGAGGAAACCAAACCTGCCAACCCGAGACCCTCTCTGCAGCATAGCCACCACATCCCCATTCGAGATGGTCTCCATCGATTTCCTCCATCTGGAGAGGAGTGTTGGCGGATATGAATATATATTGGTTGTTATGGACCATTTTACGCGGTTTGCGCAAGCATATCCAACGACCAATAAATCTGGTAGGACGGTGGCAGAAAAGATATTCAATGATTTCGTCTTGAGATTTGGATTTCCGCACAAACTCCACCACGACCAAGGGAGGGAGTTTGAGAACCAACTGTTTTGGCGACTCCAACAACTTTCTGGCATCACCCCCTCTCGTACCACTCCATATCACCCACAGGGGAACGGTCAGGTGGAGCGCTTTAACAGGACGCTTCTTGGGATGCTCCGCACCCTACCTGAAAGAGAGAAGTCACGCTGGAAGGAGTCCCTGAACAAGGTGGTGCATGCGTACAATTGCACTCGTTCTGATGCCACCGGATTCTCTCCGTTCTATCTTCTGTACGGACGTCCCCCTCGACTCCCCATTGATCTGACATTTGGCTTGTCACAAGCAAAGGAGCCCCCAAAGAATCATCAAGAGTACAGCCAACGCTGGAGGAGACAAATGGAAGAAGCATATGAGGTCGCCAGGAGGAATGCAGACAAGTCAGCAGCACGAGGAAAACGCCAGTATGACAGGAAAATGCAGAGCACTGTCCTGCAGCCCGGTGATAGGGTCCTGGTGAGAAACCTCAGGGAGACTGGTGGACCAGGCAAACTACGAGCGCACTGGGAAAGTGAAGTTCACACGGTAGTGAAACGGCTTAGTGATGACTCTCCTGTGTACAAACTACGGCCAGAAAGAGGCCAGGGAAGGAACAGGACTCTCCATCGGAACCTTTTGCTACCCTGTAATGACCTCTTACTAGAAGCTCCAACTGTCTCCATCAAAACGCGACCTACAACTGCACCCTTTGCCCGACCTGCACCAGAAGCAAGTGTTCAGCAAGATCCTAGCGACACAGACAGTGAAGCTGAATACGTCATCCAGCTGCCCACTCCTTCCTCAAACACCAATTGCCCTGCAGTGAACACTTCAGGTCTGAACCACGACGCTGAGGTGTTCCTCCCCATGGGTGACATAAGGAACGAGGAAGTGGCAGATGATCCAGTTGCGGCTGCCCCAGAACCGGCAGCAGTTGCACATGACGAGCCTGTTCCAGTTCTAGTCCCTGCAGCTGTTGTCCCGGCACCAGTACCTGAACCTGAGCCCGTTCCAGTTCCAGTCCCTGCAGCAGTTTGCCCAGCTCCAGTACCTGAACCCGTTCCAGTTCCAGTCCCTGCAGCTGTTGGCCCGGCACCAGTACTTGAGCCCGAGCCCGTTCCAGCCCCTGCAGTAGTCGGCCCAACACCTGTACCTGAGCCTGTAGCTGAACCAATAGCCGTTCCTGATCCAGTTGTACCAGATCCTGCAGCCGTACTAGAACATGGGGTCTCCAGTGAAGAAGTGCCAGGACTGGAGCCAGTGGTTCCCGCCCCAGAAGCCGAAGTGGACCCCGGATTGCATGGAGATGCAGGACCCTATCCTGCAAGACAGAGACAGCCCCCTCAGCGCCTGACCTATGAGCAACTGGGTCAGCCACTACATACACCAGGCGGTGTCAACGGTGTGATGGCAGCAGGTCTCTTCGCTGGCCCTCATCCTTCCGTGCTCTGGCCCCAAGTACCCATGATGCCACAACCGTTCCACATGCCGTGGGCTCCCCAACCCATGCAGTGGTCCACACCTATGATGTCGTGGCCCAACCAGCAGGTGCCGATGCTACCGTGGCAACAGTGGTACCAACAACCAACTTGTCAGCAGTCCTAAGCAGCCAGCCATGGACACACAGAGGACATGAACATTAGTTTTGTTTTTTTTTGGTTTGCATAACTGTTACTGTTTATACATCTGTTTTTTTACCTTCTGGAAATGTTAGGGACAACATTTAAGTTTGCAGGGGAGAGTGTAGCACCCCGATAATTATGGTGTCTTATGCTACCCCTATCATTAGATGCCCCCTCTGGAAGTTCCCCCCCCCCCATTTTTCAACAGCCTGTTCAAGGAACAGCCCTGACACAGAGCCCCAGTGAGTTGGTCAGTGGTTATTCTTAGCCATTCTCATACTTGATGACTGTGAGTGAGCACTGCATTAAAGTTTTGTTAGCCAACCGTATACTCACTGGACGTTCTGTGTCATCTATTTGCAGGTATGTGGAGTATCATTTTATTTGAGTTGTCAGCAACTTTTTATGTATAAATCCTCTTGATGTCATTTTAGTTTATTTAATCCCTTTTGAGATGAGGATTTTGATTGTGTATTTCTTAGCATCGAGCACACTTATTTTACTGACGGTGGATCCCGGTTCAGAGTTTTATTCAAGGATGTTTTCCTTTTTCCTGATGATATTGTGATTTATTGTTTGGGTCTCTGATTGTTCAGACTTTATAGATGTGATTTAGGCAGAGATTTATGTTTGATTACTTTTCCATCTTTATGTTTTCTCTGTGGGAAAAGTCATTATAGGTTTTCATTATTGTAATTTTGTAGCATTTGCAATGTACGTGTATTTGGATGTACTGTATAGCTATGCACTGTAGGTATAGCACTTCAGACCATGTGGTCTCACTCAGAACAAAGGAGCCTGTGTGACCGTCTTAGAAGCATAATTGGCACTAGGCCCTGGGGCTTGTCTGTTATCAGGCTAGCCTGGAATAATGTCTCTGGTTTATCTAGAAGGTGTAGGATGCTCCCTTGGTTTAAAATCTGAGAGGCAAGTGCCAGGCTAGGCAGGATTAGTGAATGGCTGACTGAGCTCACTTTGTTTATTGGGTCCAGAGCCTTGCTAATATTCGGGCCAGGAAGTTAATGTTTTTCTTTATTCTAGTAGGTAAATGTGTTTCTTTATCTTGTTTCCTGCGAGAAAGTGGACAGGGAGAACACTGTTATTTTCCAAGTTTTCAGTTTCATTTTTATTAGGGACTTAAGCAGTAGAGACTTAATTCCTAGACTAGCCAAGTCTGTGAGTCTAAATATTTCTTAGTTATTGATTGCAAGTTTAGAATTGTTTCAATACCATGCTTAGATTTATTTCAGTTTTATAAATCATATAGCCATTCTCATACTTGATGACTGTGAGTGAGCACTGCATTACAGTTTTGTTAGCCAACCGTATACTCACTGGACGTTCTGTGTCATCTATTTGCAGAAACATTTAATGAACACTCCGTGGTAACTCTTCCGAGCCAACCGGGGGTGCAACAAAGGTAAAATACAAATATATTGTCCACTTGAAACTGCAATGATTTCTGTTTTTCAATAATTTGCACATATCCATAATTGCAGAACTTTGCCAGTTATTCACAGATATGCCTGTCTTTAAGGTATGGAGTAGTGATACATGTAGGTCACTACGAAAGAGTATTGCAGCCAACAGTCTCCAGGAGTTAATTGAAAAAGGTATGTGAATATTATTACTTATCTTACGAGTCCGAGTGGAACACTGAATAATGTAGTGCGTCTGTGTTCGGCCGAGTGGTATGTGGGACACGGATGCACTACATTTTCTGTGTTCCACAAGCAAACTTGAGGCGCAGTAAAGTGTGAACTAGCATGTTTTATACGAACCTTTAAGCAGTTTAGCGCATGCAGTTGGAATGTCACTCGCATCTTGGAATAGCGCAATACGCAGGGTGCGATTTATATGGACCGTACATGCAGCACTGTATAATATCGCACTAGGGTTGCCATGCATGGATCGACCAATCAGAATCGAGGATTCAAGTTTGCTTGATGATAAATACTGTTGCATATAAGTTTGATTATTAGTCAGTAGCACCCACATGTGTTACTTGACAGTTTACTCCTTCAGTTCATTAGAGTAAATCAAATGTAAAGTAAACAAATATATATAAATCGTTAATAATCGTTTTCTAATGCATATCAGAGATTGGATGTTTATGATGACATAATAAAGATCCAAAATGGCTACCATTATACCCTAAAGTTGCGCGCATACCTTTCCTCAGATATCATCAAGTACATGTAGTCTAGCCATGAAGCGTCAGTATTGATGAGCTTCAAATTCACATTGTTACTTACTGGCACAGTTACCCTAACAAAAAAGGAAAATAATGTGAAAAATGGAGGAAAGACAATGATATTTAGCCAAAAAAATAAAATAAAGGTGCCTGTTAATTGGGCTAAAACTCGGGCAAAGGGTTGCCTCATGTGGGAGACTTGAACACGTTCAAGGAAAGCCCCCAAATAAAAGATTATTGCTGTTTACAATAGTTTTGTCGACGTCAAAATGTAATACCAATAATTGTGAGAATTTCCTTGAACTTGTTCAAGTCTCCCATGATTTCCGGACACGTCGTGTTTTCGCGTTTTTGTTTGCTGGGCTCAATATCACAATGTTATCATTGTTCATGTGATTTTCCATAAGGTTTTAATAGAGTAACTGTGCCAGTAAGCAACTTGGTGAATTTGAAGCTCATCAATTAATACTGAGGTTTGGCAAGACTACTTAATTATATCTGGAGACAAGGTAAATGCACACAACTTTAGAGTATAATAGTAGCCATTTTGGACTATAAGAGATTCATATTTTTGTCTATAAATGAAGTAAACAGTCGTCACACTGGGCATTTACCTAAGCCAAGGTTCCGCCCCCCGCCCCCCCCCCCCCCCCCCCCCCCATGACAGGGAAAATTGAGAATGATCGCCCTCACGTTAAAAATACTTAAACTTCCCCACCCTTTTCCGAAAAAGTCCCCCACTGTTAATTTTGCAACATTTTATTTTAAATTTCCCCCACCTTGACTAAAAAGCCTGGTGAGATGGCTGTGTCAAGTTACTTTAGTTGTATTTTATAGTGCATACATGTATACATGTCTTAATGCTGTAAAATTAATCTCTTTTATTTCCGTAGGCAAAACTAAATTTGGTTTTGAAGAGGATCTCCAAGTAAGCGTGGTTACTGAAGCAGATGGAACTGATGTTGACGAAGATGAAGTGTTGCTGGAGCTGGGCGCAGGGACAGTTTTGATTCTTCTGAAGAAAGGCGAACTATGGCAACCTTCAACACAGGATACTCCAGTTGCAGATACTATTCCATCATCAGGAACTGCAGCTACTGGATCTGGAGACACTACCCCTGCTTGCATGGCCTCATCACCAGCACGAGCTGTGACGATTGCTGAAGGCTCATCAAATGCTGGTGAGGCTAGTCCCACAACATGTCGACTTACATCATCGAGCCCACTTCCCACATTCAGTCCTCGTATAGAACACCACCTCAAATCGGCAACAGAGTCAAGGATTTGGAGGGAACTAATTTCGGAATCAGCGAACTTCTACGTTTGCAAATATCCGGAACTAGGCAGCCCAGGAGAGTACCAGATGATTGGAAGAAAGATGTTCTCAGCCTTTCCAAGCATTGCACGTGAAGGAGACAAGGAGTGGGTAAACACATTGACGTGTTTACAGCATGTAACACTTTATAAATGCTTGGACGCGTTTATAATTAACTTGATGTTTAAGTACTAAACACTTTATAAATGCTTGGACGCGTTTATAATTAACTTGATGTTTAAGTACTAACACATTGACGTGTTTACAGCCTGTAACACTTTATAAATACTTGGACGCATTTATAATTAACTTGATGTTTAAGTACTAAACACTTCCTTTAAATCACCAGAACATATTTTTTTTACTTTCGTCTTTTTAAATCCACACGAGCAGAATGGGCATGTAGCCATTGAGTATAATTTTCTTTTCACATATCAAAGAAGGTTACTTTTTTGTTATATTTGGTTTTCTATAGATGTCACGTTCGAGCAAATTTTGTTGATTCAATTCAGGGGGTGAACACAGATGTGCAAGAAATTGCTTCAGCTGTTAAAAACCTGAGATTTATAATAATCATTACATTTAATCTTGAAATGGATATCAGCAAAAACCATTTATGAAACATGACATAATTCATGATTCTGAAAGTGCCAGCTGTGACGGTAGGTTTGAGAGTGAGGCTACATGTACATATATAATTTTCTTTATCATACGATTAATATTTTTTATATGATCAATGCGCACAATGGAAAAACCTCAGTTTCATAAAAATGCCTTTAATTTTAAAACCAGCACTGATCCTTGTGTAACTTATCATGTTTCATTGATGGTCCTTCATACAAGGTGGAGAACAGAAATCGTATCAGACTTAAAAAAAGAAAGAATAATTGTGGGTAATTATGCGAATCCAACATGTATATCGAGACGCTGCTGATGAAGAAGGGATATTTGAATGTGTTAAGATCTTACACAAGCTTTGTAATTGGTTGGAAACATTTGATTTAATTGATTAAAATGACCCTCAATCAGTAAATTTTGCCAAAAATAAGATTTTTACAAAAAAGGATTTAAATCAGGAATTTGAAAACAAATTCATTTGATTTAAATTGTGATTTAAATCAGTGAGTTAACCCTGGTAAAAGAAACAGTAAATATATCTAAAATGTCTATGTAGATAATCCACTGATACTTAAGCAATGACATTATTCCGGTTCATTTTTGTTCAACATCTGAAATATTTACAATTCACCGAATCACGAGTTTCCCTTTGTGGTTATTTAAAAAGCTTTAAAATTACATTGAAATGAGAATATTTGAAATCGGAAATGTAACAAATTTAACACTTTATGAAATGTAACATATAACACTTGAACATGCACTGCATGTGTGGCGGAGCAAAAAAGTTGTTTAAAATTTTGTGTCATTTATACATAGGAGTAGTTCCCCCTTTCAAAATGCATAGCCTTTGTTTAGTGTTCCCCTGTATGTCTTGGTAGTGTGTCCCCCTGTTTGTTTATTTAAGCCCTCCAGTCCCCCCTATATAAGTTGCCACATGGTCAAGCCACACTTTAGTTTAAGCAGACCAGCAGTGAACATACATGTATATAGATAACACTAATGTTCCTCCTATAACTGGAGTGTGATCCTCATTGCTTGGGTTGTCTGCTTGTCTAGTCAGTGGTGAGTTTTCTTTTGTATTATTGTCTTCTTTTACTTATTTCCAATTATTTACAGTAGTTAAATCAGTTAGAGTTCCTCGAAAGTTTGTTTAGTTTACAGTCTGAGTACAAGTTGATTCTGGTCAGAGTTATCTTTGAATGATTTCCAGTTTCTAGTTTTATACAACTATTCAGATTCCATTTTGTTTCTTTTTACCTTGATTATTTTTCTCAAGGTATTACTGCTCTAATTACTTCTATTGCTGATAGTTGATTTATCCTACTTAATAAGGGAGTTTGGGTATTTTAATGGAAATTCCGTTTAATCAAGTACAATTTGTTCCACTTGATCGGTTTTATGACAGGTTAATCCTGAAAGTAGGGGATTAGTGTCTCCCACTTCCTTTGTGTGCCAGAACTGTTTATTGCCTACTGAATATTCATTAGATTATGTTTCTCATCTTAGTTTCCATGTGTTTTCTTGTTTTTGAAGATTGAAGTTAGAGTGAGCTTACAGATTCATTATAATTGGCTGTTTCGGCACTTTTGCCGAAACAGCCTTTGTTTTCGTTAAGATTTTTATTTTTTTTTTTTTTTTTTTTTCTTTTTCAGTCAATTTGCCCATAGCATTTGTACACGTTTTTTTGTCACCGGCACTTTGGGCATTAAAATCAATCCGATTGACTTTATACTTGGCACACACTTAGACCAGCATCTGAAGTTGTGTGCCGAACATTGACGTCATCGTGACGTCATCGACTAATTTATTATAGAATTTTGAATATTTAATTTTTCCCATAGACTTTGTACACAGAAATCGAAAAAAAATTGTCTATTTTCAAAGGGCATTTTTGACTCTTTGCCAGTAATTCATTTGCACCAATCTTTGTCCAAGCAAAGACCGTAATTCAAACAACATGGTGTAATGATGACGTCATGATGACGTCATCCGGTGTGTATTTATAGGCAATTAAATTGTGACACTTAATATTTAAAAATGCATAAGAAATCAACCGTACGCGTCCGCAGCATTCTGTTACCGGCAAGTGGTAGAGTAGGTTGAGGTCTTTATTTCATTCAGTGTGCGTGAAATCACGTGACCCTTGCTTCCGGTCGAAAAAGGCCAAAACCGGAAGTGGCTTATTATTTGAAAATGGTAATAGATATGAACTTGCTTTTAACGGTGTTAGTCTCTTGGCTGAAAGTATTCTTCAAATCATCTACCAATGACGTCATGCAATCTTCGAGCGCCCTCTAGCGACAGGTTGAACATTTGCAAAAATGTATTTTGAATAGGTGTCTGTGGCGAAGTTTGTCGGAATCGCTTAAATATTGGTGTATATAATGACCTTGACCCACTTAAGACGTGTGCAAAGTTTTAGGCGAATGACGTCATCAGACCGGAAGTTATAATAAAAAGACCCTTTTTCATTTGAAAATTCCTGAAAAATCAACCATGGCAGTTTTTATGATAGTTTTTACTTGAATTGTCGATTTAAGGGTAGGTCTAACACATTTCAAAGCTTCAAGGCAATAAGCGAACTCGGACAGGCCCTGCGCACGCTTAAAACTTCAAGTTGACAATACATCTGCTCTAAAACATGCACAGAACGTCTATATGTACATACACGTACAGTACGTTACGCACATACTGTACATGTACATCGTACATGTAATGTCAGTCAGCCATGATGTCCACATCATATCACAGTGACCGTTTTAGCCGATTTTCGGCTAACTTTGACAGATTTTATGTTCGTGCATGCGCATAGTCAGGGACGTATAATAACAAATCATAATGCCGAAAAGCCCTATGTTACGTATTTAAAGGTGCAATTTTTCTGCAGTGGGATTTTCCACAAGGCTTTTCCTATACAACACTGATATCTTACTGAGTAGTTCTGAACTTCAGCCGAGAATTACTATGAGAAGAAAAGAGAAATCGTATTTTTTTCGCGCTGTCATTCAATTGAACATATTCCTAAGGGTCAGAATATCAAGTAATATTTCATAAAAATGTTTCAGTTCAAAGGCAAATTACAAATTTAAAGGTGCAATGTTTCTGCAGTGGGATTTTGTTTTTAGCCCGTTAACTTTGTACACGTGTTGGCCCATTGACTTTGTACACGTTTTCAAGCCACCATTTCTATAACTTGGCGATCTAGAATCGTCATCAATGTTACAGCCAAGGAAGACCCTCATACAAAAATTATGCCAAGACTATGACGTCATGATGACGTCATCACCTAATTTTTTTTATTGATTTTTGAAAATTTACGTGCATATTATGAAGTCCTATATCTACAGAATTGTAAGTCTGATTGGGTTGAAACTTGGTATGTGGCTAGACCGGGATGTGTTATAGGTAGAAAAAAATTAGGTGGTCTAGACCTGAACATGATTTTTGCGGGAATTGATAGAATTGTCGAGGGTCTTCATTTTTTAAATATGTGCAAATAAATCACGTGACCCTTTCTTCTGGTTGAAACCGGAAGTGCTTTGTAATTTAAAATTGGTGAAAGACGCGAACTTGCTTTCAACGATGTTTGCTCTGGCTAAGTTGTTCTTTACCATAATATTAAAGTAATAGATGAAACTTTATGTGACGTCATCATGACGTCATCACGTGACATGTGACGTCATAATTCAAAGCCCTATGCGAATGGAATCACATACTACATTTATATGCCACCATTTATTATAAACAGAACTACACATCCTTCGTTGATGGAACACATGTCACATGTCACAAAAAGCTACCGAAACAGCCCTATGTTTGTCCACAAACATATGTCTAGTTTACACACTGTGTTGGTTTTTGGTCTGTCCTTGTTCTCTGGTTATAGTTCTAGGTTTAAACATTGGGTTTTGGATTTATTTCTTTGGTTTTCGGTCATTTAGTTCCATCACATAGTTCTTTTAAGTCTTGAAGTTGTTAACGTTTTTTATCCAGTACATTACTGAAGGACCTGAACTTGGCACTTTTTTTTCCATCAAATGTAATGCCACCTACTACATGTGACTGAAGTGTGCCCAGAAGCTGGGAATAGATCTTTGGATAATCTAGATCGAACACATAGTATACAGCAATCAATGTGAGCATCGCTGATGTTATAGACTTGTCACTGGTTGAGTGGCACATAATGCTTACAGTATCACCAACGACAAATGTGCCAGCAATTGTACCACCTTTTTTTAGAACCAGCAAATGGGGTGGGTCCCGGTCTCCTGTCTTCAAGACTTCTTCAACTTCATCATCTGAGATATCCTGAAAGCAAACCAAGGTTTTAAAGGTTGTGTCAAGACGTATCTGCAACTAGGCACGGAATTATAATGTTACAATCTGTTGCCCACATCAGAGCAGACTGGATGTAGTCCTCGTACATTCTGGGTAAACGTTTGCTTGCGATTTTTCATCAGCACATATAAGGGAACAGCTGCTTTTTTCTGCCTTAAGTGTGCATGTCAGTAACTTAAGTCAAATGCAATTTCCTTACTCTTTGTAATTAAGTAAAAATATAACACATCTTCTAGTGGGCCAAATTCTCAAATTTTGTTCTTGAACACAAAAAATTAAGTGCCTCTTGCGTCTCACATATACCACTAAGCCATGGCCCTGTGGCACACGAGCGCAAGTGGGTTAAATAACATTATCTTTGAGCAAATTTGTATATTATACTATATCGCATAGTCCATATCGCTATTCCAAGATGCAAGCAACATTTCAGCTGAATGCGTGCGCTAAACCGCTAAATGGTTGTGTAAAGCGTGTTAGTTACAACTTACCGTGTGCGTCAAGTTTACTTGAAGATAAATTAGTTATAGCACTCAAGCTCGTGGAACACAGAAATGTAGTGCATCCGTGTCCCACATACCACTCGGCCGAACACAGACGCACTACATTATTCAGTGTTCCACTTGCGCTCGCGGGATAACTAATATAGTTTCTTTTCGCCAGACAAGTTAGATTAAAAGCATAAAATTATCATTCACTAACCTCTTTAATGGTGATGACAGACTTGCTTTTCACACCCTTCCCTTTGTCAAAAGCTGTTGCCTTCTCAACATGGCGGATAACGGGGATAATCCTCTCAGGTTCCTATGGGCATTTCAGAACCAAATAAAAGCAATTTTCTTTCTATATACTCAGTGCTTCAAAAAATGTATCATTTGGTTGCCTAGCTGTTAACCCATTAACGCCGGGGAGCTTGTATAGCCGTAAACCCACTTTCCGCTAATCCCCCACTGTTAAATATATGAGTCGTGCTTGTAGGGGGGGGGGGGGGTTTGGAGGAATGTGCCGCGTTCGCCCCAGCGAACAGAGGCCGCTGTGCAGTCATGCGTGTATGCTGGGCATTCAAAACCCAGTGTACGCAAGGCACGGGGTTCACATCCTCTCTTATTTACATTATTATCATTTTTTTTTTTTGCTGGACGAAAGCACACAGGCAGACAGGGATGTTACATTGATCGAAATGAAGAATATATTAGGGGAGGTTCATGATAACATACGCCATTCGTATTTCATTCTTAATTAGAATGATATATGAGACCGTATACAAATCTTTCAAAATACCTTTGTTGATGTGCCGATGAGACTTTCCACCACGGTCAGGAAAATCTCCATCTTGTTTAGAATGGAGTCCAAGCTGCTTTCTCCAATGATTTTCAGGAAATCATGAATGACCTGTTAATGAACCAAAAGAAAACCTGTATTCAATTTGTTTTCCAGATAACTGTCAAAGTACATGTCCAACTATATATACCACTAATAATTCTCAAATAACATGTACTGTCTAGATTGTCACCTGCATTGGCTTTTTGGGAGTCAAATTTGCGTGACCCGCAGTGGTGGAAATTTCAATCAACATGCGCATGTTTCTAGATCATTTTGCACACTGTGCGCACATATATGACAGCGTTAAATACATGTACACAGTTGTGATTTTTCTATGAAGAAGGCCGTCTATAAGAGTGGTTTATTTATTGGTGGTTGAAAATGTACTTTGTCATTCAGATCACTGTGATTGGGAGCTCTTTTATCTCACTTCTTTGAATTGACCTATCGCCGTTTGCGCGCCCCTTTAGACAACCCAATGGAAAATTTCGTACCCTAAGTTTTGTTTGTCTCAGTTGTTGCGTGTTCCGCATCAATTTGTATATCCTTATAATTGGACAATACTTCACAAGCTGCGTTGACGCGATTCTAACGTGATTCTACCACGATAGGTCAATAAGCCTATGAAAAAGATTTAGTCCGCTTTATAATGACACCTTACTTTTTATACTCTGCTGTCTTGGATCCGGATGACTGATTTCAAAATAGAGGGCCAGCTAGTGAACCCATATTTTTGCCAAGTTGTGCTGATTAAAAGGTATTGACTTGTCCAAATAATAATGTCTATGGCGGGTCCAGATAGTACAGTGAGAGTACATTGTTTGGACAGTTCATGCCATCACGGATTCAGACAACTTGGCAAAAAAAGGTTTGGAGCTTTTGTTTTTAAATCAATGGTCTTCAGTTATCCATAACTGCTGGTGTATACCCCCTTTTTAGATTTAACCAAACTGACAGTGTTAATAGCTCACCTGATCATCATGTACCTTTATTGCGCTGAAAATTTGGATTGATGTGTACACCCGTTGAACGGAAAATCATTTTTTTTTCTCATCTGATTTCACCTGATTCGATGTAATCGGAAAGGTGTGCGGGCAGCACTCCAATTTCACCAGACGTAATATTTACAGATGCGGTCTAACCGCAAAGGTGAAAAATAAACATACTGGCGATTTTGTGATCCAGTCAACAAGTAAACTTCAGAGAGGTGCGCGCTGGGCTTTATGCACTGGATCAGCTTTTTTTGGATACTTAAAATACAGCTTAAATTAAACACACTTACCAGACTGCCATCTTGGTAGCATGGTATTTTCTGCAGGATTGGCTCCATTTTGGAATCTGGTAAACTTTTGATCCATTGCTGGTTGCAGGCGAAGGTTTCACTAAGGAGGAGCATCAAGTGGTTCTTGTTCTTGGTGTTGCCTTTACTCCATTCTCGTCTTACTTCAGCAAGATGATTCTCATAGTCATCAGCAGTCAATGATGAAACGTCTTTCTGCAGCAGATGGACATGTCCCACACGGGGCGCTTTGGCAGAACTCAAGAGTGGATTATCACTCTGCCTTTTTGGGGGTTGTGTCTTCTTCTTTTCAGCCCATCTTATGTGTCTGATTCGCTGACTCAGACACTTGGTGAAGAACGACTTAAAAAGAAAATACAAATTAAAGACATACATAAAAATACAAGGTATATTATGAGAATAATGGAGACATATTTTTGTAAACAGAATTCAAACAAATTGTTTGCCAAAATAGTAATGGCTTGCCTTATGGGCTCCCTGCACAAGTACTCGTTCAACGGCAAGAAAAAGAGAGTTGGGGCAGACCTAGGCTGGTTCCAAGTCCATCTACTGCCTATTTTGAATTATTCAAAGTTATTGGGGGCAGGGATTAGTCTGGAAGCCCATCGCAAGATAAATTTGTATGTTTTCGCGCACTGACGCCGCCTGACGTTAAAGATGCTGGGCTAATAGCTTTGGCGAACCAATACAGTATAGTACGCAAGCGCTGTGTGTCCTGTCCACCGTACTCTATGCCCTCTTTTGTTTGCGCACGGGGCCCATACTCAAAGGATGGGAAATTTCAAGTGCACTCCAAGGATAAAACAATGTAGATGGTTGCAAGATTATTCCACACCTTATATATTTCAGCACAAGTAGAACATGTATTTATAACCAGGGAATTTTGATGCGGATCGAAACACAAATGATGCAGATCGAAACACAAATCCAAAGGTGCTGAAATACCAAATTCCAAGATGTTAAAAAAAATAACTTATTGTCCTTCAGAGGCGAGAGATTTTTGAGACAATAATTTCACAATGCACAAAGTTACCCCTCCCCCTTCCCATAGGGAAAGAATGTTGCAGCTTAATTAAGATGAGTGATGTGTGGACCTCATGAAATTTCAGGGTTATCAGAGCCATATATAGCAACTGCAAATACGCACACGAAATAGGCAATCCCCTACATGTATATGCAGTTTCTTTCTGGCATACAGATTTCCTTAGCGTAAATGTTTTGACAGGTGTATGCACTTTTTTTACACATGGGATGAATGTGGCAACCATAAGTCCATGCATGGTAACATACACATTTTGAAGTTTGTATAGAGACATCCATCTTCACAACAATCACCAATTATTACTCCTGGTCTGCTTAAACTAAAGTGTGGCTTGACCATGTGGCAACTTATATAGGGGGGACTGGAGGGCTTAAATAAACAAACAGGGGGACACACTACCAAGACATACAGGGGAACACTAAACAAAGGCTATGCATTTTGAAAGGGGGAACTACTCCTATGTATAAATGACACAAAATTTTAAACAACTTTTTTGCTCCGCCACACATGCAGTGCATGTTCAAGTGTTATATGTTACATTTCATAAAGTGTTAAATTTGTTACATTTCCGATTTCAAATATTCTCATTTCAATGTAATTTTAAAGCTTTTTAAATAACCACAAAGGGAAACTCGTGATTCGGTGAATTGTAAATATTTCAGATGTTGAACAAAAATGAACCGGAATAATGTCATTGCTTAAGTATCAGTGGATTATCTACATAGACATTTTAGATGTATTTACTGTTTCTTTTACCAGGGTTAACTCACTGATTTAAATCACAATTTAAATCAAATGAATTTGTTTTCAAATTCCTGATTTAAATCCTTTTTTGTAAAAATCTTATTTTTGGCAAAATTTACTGATTGAGGGTCATTTTAATCAATTAAATCAAATGTTTCCAACCAATTACAAAGCTTGTGTAAGATCTTAACACATTCAAATATCCCTTCTTCATCAGCAGCGTCTCGATATACATGTTGGATTCGCATAATTACCCACAATTATTCTTTCTTTTTTTAAGTCTGATACGATTTCTGTTCTCCACCTTGTATGAAGGACCATCAATGAAACTATAAGTTACACAAGGATCAGTGCTGGTTTTAAAATTAAAGGCATTTTTATGAAACTGAGGTTTTTCCATTGTGCGCATTGATCATATAAAAAATATTAATCGTATGATAAAGAAAATTATATATGTACATGTAGCCTCACTCTCAAACCTACCGTCACAGCTGGCACTTTCAGAATCATGAATTATGTCATGTTTCATAAATGGTTTTTGCTGATATCCATTTCAAGATTAAATGTAATGATTATTATAAATCTCAGGTTTTTAACAGCCCATTCTGCTCGTGTGGATTTAAAAAGACGAAAGTAAAAAAAATATGTTCTGGTGATTTAAAGGAAGTGTTTAGTACTTAAACATCAAGTTAATTATAAATGCGTCCAAGTATTTATAAAGTGTTACAGGCTGTAAACACGTCAATGTGTTTAGTACTTAAACGCGTCCAAGCATTTATAAAGTGTTACATGCTGTAAACACGTCAATGTGTTTAGGCCGGTTTTTTTTAATTACTTGGATTACGGAATCGCCGCCGGAAAAAATCGGAATTTTGAAAAAAATTAAAAAAATCGCCGCCGGAAATTGTCGATTCTGACTACCCCCAAAAAAAAAAAAAAAAAAAAAAAAAATGTGCCTATTGTACAAAAAACTCTATATTGCGCGCTGTCCAGGCCTGTAAACCATAGTATTAGTACTGGATTGATCGAACGACATGACTTAGACTGGCGACGACTACAGACTGTGCCGTGCGGGCCGCGCGCAGCCATGTATGGTGCACATGGTGAGTCCGTGCACAGACCACACGTGGCCGTAAATATTGTGCATGGCCAGGCCGCGCGCTGTCAATGCATGCAGTGTGCAATGCATGCACTGTGTTAGGTCGTACTGCAACAATGGCCGACCACGCCGGGAGATCCGTTTGTCTTCTCGTGAGGGTGCGTGAAGGGTCCAGACCTACTACAAGAAGGTTGATTAAATGTTCCCCTTCGGAAGTCATACGTGACGTCATATGTAGGACGGGGATAAGTCCGTCGGACAAAGATATCAAAAGGGTATCTGCGGCGTCCACAGAACAGAACGAGTGAGTCAGAGAAAGAGTTTATTCTCACCGGTTTATTGTACATGAGCGTGCGTTGTGAAGGAAGAAGAACACGCGGTTTAATTTTATGATAATGTGTGCATGTACTTCCAGCGTAAACGTACTAATAGCATTTTTGTATACAAGTATGGGGAGGTCAGACGGCCGTTTTAATGTTTATTTTGTACGTACATACATCGTGCACATAGTTATTATTATTTATTCGGCCATCAACAAACAATGATTCAAATGAATAGCCTATAGTATTTTGGGAAAACAAATAAGCAAATATTAAACTGATAGGGGGACCACATAGCAGGCAAATTGCGTCATCGCAGCCAGCAGGCTGCAGAAATGTGACTCGTGGTTTGTGCTCAAAATTGCGGAGAGTGATCGATCACTATTTGAAACATGAAAGTGATGAAGCTAGTTTTCGAGGGAGTGGTAATTCATCATGAGATAAGATCTCTTGATCAAACTCGTGCTGCTTTTTATGGAACTTATTAATAATAGTGTGGAAGGGATTAGGAATATTAGTTGGGAGGGCGAAAGAGATGAGTTTGTATTAAAACCTTTATTTAAAAAAATTGGAAACAAATATTGGGGCTTACACTTTAAAATAGCCCTGTATCAAACAGGTATTTTTGGAATATTGTGATAAATAGGCATATTTTATCTTTTTAAAACAAGTTTAATTTTTCGTTTTATTTGACAGAAAGTGTCTCATGAATGATGGGGAAGGCAGTTTTGTTTTTATTCGAGCTGAAAAACAAAACGATGACATAAAATACAATTGTGTCAATGTGTTGTAATTTTAATATCAATTTATTTTCTTTCTCTTTTGATGCTGCAATCTTTAGGTGATGCGGTAAGTTTTAAAAAGCAATGTAAGCTTGCTAGATTTCTGATTTGCTCATCGTGTGCCTTTCTTTTGCTCCTTTCTATTGTATATTTATCCTAGTACTAGCACATTGTTTTCATACCAGATCTGTCTGAGTGATGGATGCCACTAGTAGTTTAGATGCCATGTAGTGAATATGCTAGCCATCTTCAAACATATTAATTGCCTCGCTTTTGTCATAAAAAAGCACTTTTGTTTTCTGTTGCACATTTAATCTGCTGTGGTGAAGACCGGTGCAGTATTTAGATTTAAGAAAACAAGGAATAGTTCCGAAGAACTTTCAAGTGATCTTATTCATATCAAAATAGTTTTTCAACATTGAACAAGCAAACATATACATCGGGCTTTATTAGTGTGTATGGTAAAAGTTTGAAAAACCATGAAACATGACTTAGCCTCCATTTTTAAAACGAGGCAAATTTCAAACAAATCATCTGCAAATGCATCTTTGTATATGGGCTTGTGTGCTTCTCCTGCTTCTGATCTGATGAAGATGCTCTCTTTTTCAGAACTTTTTTGTTGGAAAATTGGCAGTGAAAACAAAAGGCATGAAGGATCACAAAAGGATTGAAGAGTAATTAAATTGATTGAGTGTTATTAAAGGTGGTGGGCTGCTTTTCACTTTTAACAATTGAGCAAATGCTGCATTTTAATATCGCATATTAATACTTCCATGTGTCAATTATGTGCCATATTTATTGTTTTGGGTAACTAGTATGCATCCCGCAAAGTAGACATAGCACGTTAATATTTAACTGTCGATAGTCATTTTTGCCTTTTTAAATGCATCAGGTAAAAATGTTGCTACTTTTCTATATTAAAGAATGAAAAAAAATTGGCTGAAAATCAATTACCTGTAATGTAGCCTCAAATTTTGCCCCAATGCATAAAAAATCACTAGAAAGGTATTTATGAAAAACGACTGTTTAATATTAACCTGATACATTTAAACAAAATAGAAAACACATACATCTGTGAGTTTCCATTTAAAGTGTGTTTTCATCATTAAAAACAATCACTATATTCACTTTGATTGATTTCATGTATCATGCAAAGCAAATGGTGTGCTGCTTCATATTTGACTGTGTTTTGATTATACATGTAGGCCAGCATGTAAGTATGAGATGTGTAAATAGGGATCGTTGATAATGTTGCAGATTTGCTGAAATAGATGTTACCCTTAAAGTGGAAGACCTAGTGCTTTTTCAGTATAAAGTGCTGGACATCATATGCGAGGGGCAGCATGAAGAACAACATCCAACGAAGTCAGCTTTCACGGTGATGATGCAAGCTCAGAAGGACTGTTCGCATTTGCCGTCCAAAAAGTAACGTTGATTTAACTATTTGCTTTTGTTTCTTTGGAATAATTCAGATGTGTTTCAAGAAAAAAAAGCAACATCTTGCTCAAAAATGTATTTATATAAAGTTAATCTTCAATACAGGTCTGCAGCAAAGATGACATCGGTTGACAGATTGCACAATGCCTGCATCGATATGCTATCTGAACAAGGAGTTGGGTGGACCAAGGCTGATGCATCCGAGCGTGGCACAAAATTTGTGAAAACCCTGGTTGATACACTCTGGTATGTTGGCCTACATTTAAAACGAACATGTACTTTAACCTCTCTCCACATAATTCGAAACGAAAACTACAATTTTATTTAAAGGTTTCTTTTACCTTGTACAACAAAATATAGTTTGGAATGATACTTAAGAAATTCTACTTTGTTGTCTTTCAGGTACATTGATTTCCATCACGGACAATTTGCGGAGAGGAACTGCCCCATACCGAATATGTTTCAGAAATTCCATGGGTATTGTGATCCCAAAGTACTTCACCGGCCTGCACCAAAGGTGAATTTAAGCGTATGACTTAATTTTATGTTATATGGACAAAAAAATAACATTTAAAGACAAGAAGACAGGTTAAATTGATCACCTCATAAAACCTACATTCTTCCCCCAAAACAGAATAAACATTTTAATGTACATGTACTCAAATTCCAACATTAATAAATGGCCTTGATTGAAATTTACTACTCCGATATTTATTTTCAACAAACCTTTGGTACTTTGCAGATCAAATATGCCGAATTGAAGTTGCATATTGATACATGGTGCAACATACTTCTACAACCATACCTGAGCGAGAACAGGTGGCAGTTTGTCTCCCAGAGTCTGTCAAGTCTAGTAGAAAGCATGCAGAAATACCTCGTGTTTCTGTCCAAACAGGTAGAAAGAAATGATGCCCACCATGTTGCTGAACAGCCTGTGCGATCCCCAGACAACGAGTTTACATTCCAAATTACTGAAGGTAAAAATGTCTGTTTCATTTCTATGTATCTTGCATTGGAATTAGGCCTACATATTTCTAGCTTCAATGGTTGCACAATTTATTTTGCGAATAGGGGCCTATAAGTACACATTAATCTTTGTAAAAAAAATACCACTTTTTGATACGGAATTAAGTCTAAACTAATTACAGAATGTTTGTAAATGAATGAAAATGAAAGTAAATTTTGCTTATACAAATTGTATTTTTCAGCATCTAGACATGTTCCAGTACAGTATCGCGATCTTCAAACGGCTCTTTCTGGGGTTGATGAGTACGTGCCAATGTCTCTGATACGGTTTGAGCCTGAGGATCGTTACGAACGAAGAAAGTGGGTTCTTCAGCTTGCCTTGGATGTACCTTTTGCCATGTGGACTTACTACCAGGGAAATTATCTTGGTAATTTGACATACATATGGAGGGTTCCTTTCAAGAAAGAGCAGCGTATACAAGAGCGCGACATGGATCTAATCGGTCAAATAAAGCTGCATATCCCAAGGTACTCAACAAGGGCAATGCGAAAAGAATTCATCGACAGATACATGCAGTCAGCAAAAGTAAAACCAGCCATCCTCCGAGATATGTTCAGGTTCATCAAGGAGGATGCATCAGCCTCTGAAACGTCAAACCAGACAGCAATAGACCAGCGTGTCCTCAGGTTCATAGCAGATAGTGATGAGCCAGACCTGTTCTATGACCTGAGGTCCATGAATGGAAATGCGTCGTCGACAAAGTTCGACGTATTTTGGGAAGAACTATCAAAGTTCTTGGATGAAGTCTGTGTTGTCGACGATCGCAGGCATGACACCCAACTGTACATGCCTTTTGCAGTAAGTGTAGCTGATTTGAGACGGCAGATTATGGAGAGGCTACCTGCAGATGCAAACATACCAAGTACCAGCTGGATGAGGTTTGGTCTTTCTTGTGTACATTTAAAGCTGTCTATTAAATGTTGTGTTCAGCGTGTTGTGTTTTGTGGGATCTTAGACTGATCCTTAACTCTCAAACTGTATCGAAGCATCAACAGACATTAATATTTCATACTGAAAACTAATTTTAATACGTTAATTGGGATTTTGTTGCTTTGCAGGTTTCAATTTTGGCCATCAAACCCTCACTCTAACGCTGCCGTGAGATACACGGGCCGCTTTAATGTGAAGTATGCCGTTCAGCAGCGTCTCCTCCGGCAAGAACATCCAGACAGCAAGTATGCTGGATTTAACTTCAAGTTACTGAAGGTAATCTTTAGCATAAGATTTATCACTTGTAACTATTCACAGACATGATTTTGATGATAAAAGGCATTTAAGTATACATGTAGTGTGAAAAGGAAACATTTTATGCTGATCCTGCAACCATTTTTTAAATGCTATGTATTTTTTTATGAAGTGCTTCCTCTGGATACGGTATCAATGCGTACGCTTACCCCCACCATCTAAACATTTATAGGGGCGGACATTCCTATAAAATAAATCACCATGTACATGTACATGTATAAGCATTTTTTTTTGTTTAATGCAGGAATTCGCCGTAAAATGGAAAGATCATGCAGTCTTCCTATGTCTGGATGACAAAGCCGTAGTTCCAGTAGGTGAACCTCATGCACCGGTTTCAACTGGAGTGCGTGCACACGGCAAATCCCTCACCTCTGCAGACCCAGAACGTGCCACCAAGGCACTTGACCATGATTTCCATGTCTGTGGTCTTGTCCCATCAGTTACATTTCATGCAGATATTCCAGAGGGGCCAAGGGACAGCTTCTACAATGGAGATGTTTATGTCAGAATCAAAAACAAGGTAAATTTATTTTACGAAACGTTCGTTATACTTTTGTTTAGGGCAAACGTATGTCTTCACTCTTGAGTCTATGGAAAACAATCCGCCATGTAAGTTCAATAACATTGTGTTTTTTCCTTCAGATTTTTGAACCATCAACAGCCCAACGACATGCATGTGAAGTTATTGACTTGTTAAGGGAGCGACACTGCGAGGATGGTGTAAACCTCGACAAGAGTATTCTTATCAACTTCACCGATGGAGGGCCCGACCATAGAACAACTAACCCATCAGTGCAGATAGCAGCTATAGCTCTATTTATTGGTAACACACTCTGAATCTCATTTGATAGTACACTGGGACTAATTTGTTGCTTCTTTGTGAGTTTACAAGTGTACCTAAATTTATTATAATTGTGTTAACTTTGTATTTATTTTTGCAGCATTGGATCTGGACATGTTCATACATGCAAGGACAGCTCCTCATGGTAGTTATTTAAATCCTGCAGAGAGGATCATGTCACTACTCAACCTGGCATTGCAGAATGTGTCACTAGCAAGAAACGAAATGGCCGCAGACTACGAAAAAATAATGAAGCGTTGTAACGGTCTAAAATCTACAAGGAAAGAGGCTCACGATTTGCCTTCATTTAAGACAGCGTTGCTGGAATCGACAAGTGAAGTAAGCACCTTTACTTATATTTTAATAAATAGATTTGTAATGCGCAGTAATGTAGAAGCTGCAGAATATTAATGTCCTATATTATATGATTATATTTTTATTAGCATTGTAGAGTGTTTAAGTCCATAAATTTAACCTAGATACCCGCCCTTCCCTTTTTTCTTACTCTTTCGGATTGTCCTTTGAAGGTCGTAGAAGTGCTCCAGAAGCGTTTTGGAAGACTTCAATTCAAAGAGGCCCAAGTGAACGTGAAGAAAGCGCTGAGTGACGAACAAATTAACACTATTGCATTGGAAGAAATGCTAGGTGTTGTTTCGCAAAATGCACGCCTAAACTGGTCACGGAAAGAAATGGAAAAAGACCTAATGTTCTCCCGTTTCTTTCAGAAGCACTGCAGAAGGAGTCAATATGCGTTTCAGGTAAATATCAATACGCCTTTTTGGAATAGACCTGTGTACTGATATGATGCATGATGGAAGCAATAAAAGTCATTGTAACCAAAAGGTACAATAACTCTATTAGAAGCAGACTACGCATAGTGAAGAAGTCGACAAAATTCACAATCTTTTCAGCGATCAAAATCGTTCCTCTTTAGTTTACGATGTATATAGTTTTTGACCAGAACGGGTAGGCCTATTCATGTTTGATGTTTGGTACTTACATTTATAGACATTAATGCCACACGTACTGATTATTTAAGCTTCTTTGCCTTTTGTACTTCAGGTGAAAAAATGCAAGCTGGAAGAAGTGGACAGCTGTGCATATTGCTACCTCAACCCTCCCAGGATGTCGGACGATCTGTATGGGGACCTGAAATGGTCGCCAGACCCCGTTCTTGCCCCTGATAATGAGCACTTTCTCCCATTTTCTGTGGTATATGGCACCCCTCAATTGTCCCCTGACGTGGACATGCCATCAAGACAAGGGCGTGTCGACGTCACAGAAAATGACAAGAGCAACAAATCTCTACTCACAAGAGGTGCATTCATACAGCATCCATTGTTTGTACATGTACAGTATACATGTAGTTTAAAATTTAAATTTGAATAATTTATTTAACCATGGGTTTTATTTTGGTCAAGTTAAATTGAAAGTCCAGTGCTACAGAAATTACATGTACATATACGCCTGTTTTTGTTTTCTATGTGCACATTCAGAGAAAGCAAGAATGCACGTATCATGCAGGGAATGTGGAAAGCGTCGCCTTGTCTACTCGGCCAAGAAACCTTCGTCCCGGGAGAGAGACGCAATAATTGACATGGAGGACGAGTTGAGTTACCAATGTGGTAACTCGCTCTTTCCTCCAGGTCATGAAAAGCACAGCGTACATGTTTCAAGAGAGTCTATCACGTGTTCCAGCCAAATAGAAACGGCATACTACACTGGTATGTACATGTAATGTCATTAATGTTTTACATTAGTGTACACACCTTTCTCAATTACATTTTGGAATGCGGTATTAAGCCCGTGCCAGGCCAAAGATGATCTGTGCAACCGTCAGTCTGCTTTAAAACGTGTTTAGCGCGGGCCCGCTAATGCATGAATTCCGTTTCTTTCTTATTCCCAGTTGTTGGACAGTACTTCGGCACAATCTGTGTATACTGTGGAGAAACGGACGTTGATGAAGACGACCACAGGTTGACGGAAGCCGCGCAAAAGTTTGCATCAGTGCGGCCGATGTGCCAAAGCTGTCTCGATATTGGGAAGCCACTAGTTACTAGGGGAAAAGTGAAGTAATTAGCTGTTTCGCGCACAGCGGGACCGCTTTTGTTTCTCTGATTGTTTTTCTTTTTCCACTAGGGAATGGTGCTAGTATTATAAACAAGTGACGTCAGGAAGACGTCATCGACTGTTGTTATTGATTCAGTGAGTAATTTTGTCATTTCTTGAAACACATATAAGCGAATATTCGATCGTAATGAAACTAGTTGGGTTGGTAGGAAATTGTACTAATATCCCAAATGTGAAGTGATGTCACGATGACATCATCAACTGATTTGCTATTGATTTTTGAATAATTAATTTTGCCATTTTGTGTCAAACGTAACATAAAATGCAAGCTTTGGAACTTTTTGAAACATACGTGAAACAGCTTAGTGTTTGATATTAATTGTTTTGTGTAGTGGTCCCAGTTTAGAGATTTACAATTACGATGTGTTTCAGTTTTCTGATTGGTCTACAGGAAAAGGTAGTTTTTTTAAGTCCAATTATAAAGAGTTTTTCATTTTTGTTTGGTGACCTCGTTGTTAATGCATATTCAGCGGTAGTCTGGTTCTATGATTGCAGTATGGGACGCCTATCATGCATTGCAATAGGAACCAGATCTTCCATGTCTGCTATGTTGAAACATTAGCGTAAAATACAAACTAGCGTTGTCTTTGATTTTGTTTTATTGTTACACCGACTTTGTTATTCCTATATATTCTTATGTGTATTATACTCTGATTTTGCTTTAAACGTCTAATTTGAGAAAAATTGGCTAAAGTTGCGTCAAGTTTGAGGTGTTTGGTGCTCGGGTCGCAACATTTATTATGTAGGGGTGAGTAAAGTCGTACCTTTGCACCTTTTGTGTAAAATGTGTATTTCTATTGTTCTAAAGGAGATGTTTGGAAAGGCGTTGTTAGAAATATATACTTTAGATATTCTGAAATTACGGGTCACGTTCTGTTCAACAGTACATGTACAGTGAAACTATACCGCTCCCCCGTAGTGAATAGTGGTCTAGTCCTCTGACCTGTTTGGTGCATGCATGGAATCGGACAACCTAGCTAGCTATGCACTGTACTGGGTCACGTCATGTACGTTCACGATGCCACAGCACCCGGAACCTACAGTCTACGCGTTTGTTATGAGCCACGGTTTTTCATTTAGTTGCTGCCATTCTTTGTACACAGAGCATTACAAAACTCATAAAATATACGCCAGTACCAATTATTGCACAGGTTTGAAGAAATAAAGAAAGGAAAGGGCCGTTGGTCACTCCATGGTCACTATTTCTTTGAAACCGTGGTTTTGAAAATGCAGTGACTGTTCATTCTCGTGCCCGTTTTTGTTTCTTCATGTCTCTATGGGCGCCGCCATGTTGGATGATAGGGCGCCCCCATTTTTTTTTTTTTTTTTTTCATTTCCCGCTCGCCGCCGGAAATGGGGACCCAAAAATTCCGTAATCCAAGTAATTAAAAAAAAACGGCCTTATGCTATAAACACATTGACGTGTTTAAAAGTACATTGTGTTTAGAAAGTAAACAGTAAATAAAACATGTTCATATGTTTATGTGTTTAAAGAAATAAACGTTTAGTGTTCAAATATAAACATGAGTGTTCAGTGTTTATTCATAAACGCGTCAAAGTGTTTACAAAGTTTTACAGTTGTGTGTTTATATTAGTGTTCAGATGTTAAACATAATGTGTTCAGTGTTTATTTATAATCGCGTCAAAACGTTTATAAAGTGTTACAGATATGCGTTTATATATGTGTTTAGAAGTTAAACACACGGTTTTACAGTGTATTAGTGGCGTAGCAAGGATTTTTTTCCTTGGGGGGGGCTGCTTGATTTTCTCGGGGGCTCCAAATTATTGCTCAATCCAGTGGCAGACCAAGGATTTCAATGGGGGGGGGGGGTCATTGGCGTATTTCTTTTCATTTCTGAAATCGTATCAGGCCGTTTTCAGAATACCAAAACAGTGTTCTGGACGGGCAAAAACTCTGGCAGAGCGGCAGACAAAATGCAAGCGCAAAGCCCCTAAGCCCCTGTCACACTTGTCCGAATCGTCACTCCGTTCATGTTCCGAGTAAAACATGGTGGATTCGGTGTTTAATCGGTTTGAACTGAACTCAAACGGATTTCCCTCGGTTTTCCACGCTATATACTCGTGTACGTTCGGTGATGCACTGAGTAACTCGGAGAAATTATTGAACCTGTTTAATAATTTCTCCGAATTGTCGCGGCAACCTCAATACGGACGGTATCCGGTATACACACGGAATATGCACGGAATACACACTGTACTCATTCGTTGCCATTCGTTGCAATGCGGAATAGGTACGGAAGAGTACGGATCAGGCCTCCGATTCCGATCGATAACCGTATGTATTCAGAGTTCATTCCGAACCCACACCATTGTAATGCCGATCAAAAAACGGACGCACCGAATATAAACGGAATGTTCGGAAAGCGGTCGGTCTTGAGATCAATGAGTTTGGCATGTCCGGTGATGATCGGAGAGGTTCTTAATATAGACGGATTGCAATCGGAATAGCAACTTATTAGATCTGGAATAAAACCGGATTATGATCGGTGTCTTTTCATTTCTGGCTGGTTTTTGATATTTCTCTCCGAACGTGTCCGAATTAATAATATTTGAGATCGGTTTATGAACGGAATTATAGATTCGGACAAGTGTGACAGGGGCTTTACGGCGTGGGGTTCCGGGCCCGCTGAAGGGCCCCGGGAAATGTTATTTTCTTTTTCCTAAAAGTTTATTTTCCGGGACGCGAAGATTTTGTGGGGGGGGGGGGAGGGGGGGGGGGCTACGCCACAGCTTACTAGTGCTAACATCAACCACTACATATATTGTTCTCTAGCAGATAGTCTTACTCAATTACTCAAGTTGTGAATTTAAAGCATTTTTCAAGGCAGCTCAAAATACTGACTAATTGACTTTTAGGAAAAAGGTAATATTCCGTAAAATCCCCACAATGCACAATTCCAATATTTATTATATTTTCATTGCAAGTTGAATTATATGTTTTGTTGGGGTCATAATGTTCATAGCCTTTCTTTATATGTACATACAAAGCAATTGTTTCCTCAAGGCTGAATCTTGTTTTCTTTTTTACCTTTATTCATAGCTCAGCTTAAAGGCACGTTTTCACAAGTTTTGATTTAGCTCACTACTCAAGTAACCAAATGTTAGTTCTAAAAATATTTTTTGTCACGATACCTCTAACCGATTCCAGGCAATGCATCCTCGTAAACAAAGGTCTTGTTGTCCAGTAAGGGCCTTTGGCGCAAACGGGATCTTAGTGGGCCTTTTTGATTCTTTTCAGTGGCATCGTCGACTCTTACTTCAAACATTTCCTCGGGAAGAATTTTGTTAGCATCTAGGCATGCCTCAATCCCTGAAAAACTTAAGTAATTTGAAAAACAATAACTTTGATAAGAACTTACTTGAAACTGAGTTGAAAGGTTGGCATTATTTAAGTGTCTCCCAAGATTTCAGGTGCATGTACAGAGGAGGCTTGGGGTCCAAACCCCCCAGAGGTTGGACCAAAAAATTTTTTGTAAGTTAATTGCGTAAACAGAATCACCAAAATCTGAAATTACAAGGGGGATATATCCAGAAATAGCAGTAGGAGTAGTGTAAATTATATTTCTAATGGGAAGGCTCACAACCCCCTCAAAAATTTCGCTCCTTCAGCGCTCACCCTCACCCAACACCCTCACCCACCCACCCCCCTCCGGAAAACAATTCTGCGCACAGAAAAACCTGGTTTTTGAGCATTCTCTTTTCAAGAATTAAGACCTTCTAGCCTTGTGAATGTGAAACTTTTCAGTACTAAATTGTTTTTCGCATACCAATTGCAAAAGTGCAGTCTATATATTTCTCAGTTGACATGCTTTCTAATGATGCCTCGGGTTTGGCATCAGTAAGCATCATTGTCTTGAAATTGTGCAAATTGTATAATTTAATTCATTTTCCTACTGAAGAAAATTTACACAGATTCATATTCAGTCACTGAATTTAATTCACGATCATGGTTAAAACATTTAACAGCCCCCCCCCCCCCCACTTACGCCCACATGTGAAGGTTGTTTGGGGTAACCTACATGTACTAAACATTTTGGACAAATGTAGGAAGAATTAAAACATCCAATCCCCCCCCCCCCCCCCCCGCAAAAAATCCTGGACATTCAGCAGCTATAATAAAAGATGAATCATTAAAGAAAATTATTATTTTTAACCCTTAACAGCAACTTTACTTACATTTATAACTGACTATCCACAGACCAGCTGAAAGGCCCATGAGATATTTCAGTAGGTATAAATGGAGGTCACCAGACTTTACCCCTCCAAATGATCCCCTTCTCCCCCAATTACCCACCTCTCCCCTCCCAAATAGATCTCCCTCTCCCCTCCCAAATAGATCCCTCCCCCCCAAATAGATCTCCCCTCTCCCCCATATATATCTCTCCCAATATCTCAGTCTCGGAATCAGGTAAAAACCGGGCCCAATATCTCTCGTATTGAAAATCTCTCTCTCTCACCAGCCGGTGAGACTGATTGCTTATAAATCCAAAAGTCTAAACTCTTTAAATTTTTTTAATTTTTTTTTATTGATAAATATAAATGATGAATACGATCAGGCCAATCGTTAAGGGATTCTCTAGATGGAATAAAGCCACGCTGCGCGATTACGTCCAGCGATATAATATACCGTACAATCTAAATGTTGCTATTACGCGTAAAGTCTACATCAACGGGATAAAAAAAATACAAAGCTCAATTTAAAAACTTGAGGAAAAAGACGCTACTTGAGATCAAACAGATTGTAGACGATTACGATCTAGAATATAACCCGTCGGGTTATAAAGGTCGATTTCTGATAAAAAAAAGATTTACTCTCGGCGATTCAAAACTCTAGGCAACCCGAGGAGGCTGAGTTTAGAGCGACGAGGAGATTTCAAAACAACTTTAGTAATTGGGAACTGATTCCTTGACTTTTTAACGACGATTTATTCAGATATTTTGATAAGCACGAAGATCAAATTGTAAATAAAATCAAGTCAGAATTGAGAGAGCTAAGAGGTTTAAAAAAGAGCTCACAATCAAAATAAGATACGAAAAAAAAAAACCGGATGGTACGACCGAAACGATCGAAGCTATTCATTTTAGCGATCAGAGAGTCGTTTTATATCAAAGTTAAATAAAACAGCTTTTAAAAGAAGACATCAACCAGCTATTTAGAAACGATGAAAGGTATACGAACCAAGGATCGGGTTGGGTTTAAAAAAAGATAATGGCGTTGTACATCAAAATCAACACGTTTAACCCCGTGAGGGGTAGTTCTTACATTGAATTACCAAAATGTATCAAACAGAAAACGGTGATGATAAACATTAAAAACAAAGACGACGAGTGTTTGAGATGGTGTTTAAGAGCTGCTCTTGGCTTGTATACGGATAAAGTAAAAAATAACATTAAAAAACGATCCCTAATATAAAATTCATAGAGAACCTGTTGTATACACCAAAGACGACAGACTCAAATTTAAAGGCGTAGACCTTCCAACACCGATCGACCAGATACCAATGAGGGGGAAATATATCCGTTATACGTGTCTTCTGCCCTCACTGCACGTGTATGTGCGCAGCTATGCAGAGGCTAAAACACTCTCCTAATGAGCCAAAAATGGACTCTAGTGGAGTCTGTAAATTAGCTGTTTATTGGAAGTGGTGTGAAACTGCAATTTAAATCATACAGAACTCATTTTGAGTTTAAACAATAAAGTACAGAAGATTAATTGAGTGTTCATTAGTGTGAGGTGATTACATGAACTATCTTAATTGACCACTAATGAAAGAGACGAAAATACAGGAAATGGCCCAAGGACTATGACAAGTCTACCCCAAGAATCCAAAATCTGAGAATAAACTGGCTGGAAATACTCCCTTAAATAACAGAGAAATTACAATAAAGAATTCAGACATGTAAAAGTAGACGAATCCCCCTCAAATTGACATGTAAGCGGGATGAGAAGGAAAAACCATGCCCTCAAAATGTCCACAAAAACCCATTCAAAATGTACATGAGACCGAACACGTTTATGTACACGTGTCCGTAAATAAACGACACTAACTTTAAGAAATAGCCCCCAAAAACCCACAAAACAGTGATCAAACTAGTAAAGCTTATACATTACATGATCAGAGAAAGATTACTTACAGATTGTGCTGATTAAGGGGATTGGATTACTGGTAAAACCTGTCGAAATTACTGATTTTCTAGAGCACGATTGTGATGAATAACTGATCAAAACGATGTCATGAAAAAATACGCATGAACAGCAGAGGGCGCTATACACATTCTGGAACGGCTGCCGAAGGCAGAACAACGTGTCTAAAAACTACAAAGCAGAGTCACGACCAATCAATCTGTTTTTGTTTTCTGAGGGTGACAAGCATCACTACTGCA